CTGTTTAAATAGAGATGTATACTTGAAATCATTTTACAATCCTCCACTTCGCTTGGTAACAGCAGTGTCTTACCCAGCAGTTGTCATCAAGAGAATCATTTACACTTGTCACGTTCCCGCTTAGCAGCTGAATTTCTCTTGGTTTATATGGATTGAAGCGAGTAGTACGGATATTCCATTTCCACGTAGGCGTGTGATTTTGTAGTTCACACATGTAAAAGCGTTCGGCGTAAGATATATAAGGGCCCTACACCGAAAAGGAGTTAGGAACGTGAAAAAATATTATAGATGCTATGTTGTTTTTGTTGGTAATGTTCACTATACAATCATGGTTCAGCTATTGAAGTCTGTCCGTCACAATAAATCCCACTTATTCAGCTGCACTGCTGAGTTTCAACTCAGTTCTTTTTACCTGTGGACTGACCACCATCCCGCAACTTATGGCCGCTAAGTAAGCTATATTCGGACACCAATTCAACTGGCTACAGTCCAAATGTCAAGTGGGCATTCCATAATGGTGGCTTCATACTGACCGCGATAGAGTTGATACTTTTGCCGTGAATGCCCGCCTGGCAAAGGAGTGCGAAAACCACCACAAGTTTGCATGACATCTCGGATCACCAGAATCGCAGAATTAGGCTGCACTAGGGGATACTTTGAACGCCCAGAGGTGGTGGTGGACGCGGTCTACGGCCTCCCACTTGGCCCCGCTATGATTGGGCTATGTGTGCTGCGGCAGTGGGCGACGGTGTGCGACCTGCCGCCTCCCGGCTAACTGCTGCCGTGCAAACACCACGACACTGTTGTATCACGATACAATACAGTCCGGCACGCGAGAGCGGTTTCCGGCCCAGTGTTTGCCGACCGGGTATCTCTGCTCTCCAAATTAACGTCCCTGAGCTCTCTATCACGGCTATTTCATGCGAACCCTTCCTGCCCTTCCTAGCAGACTCTTCCGAATCAAAAGTGCTCCTCCGGCCAACATGTTCATAAACATGATATTTATACATGGGTAGTCCTCCAAATGGCAAGAGCTCAAAGTGCCACAATCGCTTTTTATTTATCATAGTAAGGTTGTATGCTAGCCTAAGCCTAAGCACTGCCAGTACAAGGGGTGAAGGTGGTAGTCAAGGTGGCAGTACCGGTCCCGGCCGCACGTCGGACACACCCCTTGCTTTACATCATGGATCACCAGAATGCTAAGAGAGCAAGCAGAGAGGCGAGGAGAGACAGAGAGATACGGCAAATTTTGCAGACGCCTGGATTGAACTAAGTGCTGCAGCCGTGTGCAACCCTGCCGACCTGCCACCTCCCGGCCACGCCTGGCGCCTGGCGTGCGAACACCATGAACGTTGTATCGCGCATAAATCCTCGTGCGTTATGCAATAAATGGAGGTTACCGGCGTAGTATTTGCTTTGTGAAGTGGGATTCAGGGCCCCAAAACGCGAGCGCAACTACTATCACGCCAGGCGTGGGTGTCACACCCAGCGTGACGAAAGTCGGCCTGTCATTGGCTGCGCGAAGCCTACGGCGCGTGAAAATCACGCTGCTTGCTTGCGTTTCGTGAACTCTGAATCCACTCTGATGGTCTAACATTATTGTGCTTATCGGGGCAGTGGCGCACTTGGCTTTGTTTCTAAACCGGGATTCCAGGTCCGGGAGTGAAGCTTCTTAGTTTGCAAAGCCTGCATTTAAATATATTTAATTGCGATTCCCGCGGGAAAATTCATACACGTACATGTTAATGGCGTTATAGACGTTTTTAGGAAATCTACTATAGATTTTTTTTACAGTGCGCTAAAAAATTACGCAAATTTGAATTGTGACTCTTTATTTCGATTCTGA